TTAGTGGTGGGTGGTGATGACTAGTTGTCTTCCCCCTAGGCTTACACTGCTACATTTGGGACGGCTAGCGCAGATAGCCCTCTTGTAGCTTTGCGCGAAATTCAAAACAAACAAACTTGCCTGCATGGCATATAGTCTTAGCCTGTCAACATACTCAACGTGCTTACATGCGCCTTGTGACCACTGGCAGAGAATAAGGCAAGGACCTGTCCATAATGTTGCTTCCATGTCATTGCCACATATCAAAGCCACACCCAATCTCCATGCTTGAACGTTTGTTCTTAACTTTTATCTTCTGCTAAATGAAAGTCTTTCTTAGCTGTCGATGCACAAATTCATGTGCTTCAACTAGTTCAAGCCTTAACCACTCCAAAATTTTTTTGGAACATTGTAGAACATCTTCATTAAGGGTGGACCATACATTACATACCCAGGAACATGAAGATGTTTGACAAACAATCAGGTGATTTCTATTCAGTTGTATGATAAGCCAACACGAAGTATAAAAAGCTATTTCAGGATTAAAAACTTCACAAGCAACAATTTGATAGTTTGTATTGCCCATTTTGTTAAAAAATAAGATCGGGGTAATAGGGCAAAGTGTGTATCTTTGTCAAACCTAGCCCTTTGCACAGCTCAGAGAATAGTTGGCCGTTGAAATTAGTTTCCTGGTCTACCTGTATTTTCTCAGTGAGCCAAACTGCAATGTTCAATGCGCCACCAACACATCACCAATGGACTGTGCTAACGTGTGGGTCATTGGATAACTTTTGGCCTATACTTTGTGAAATAATCACTAATGGTCAGCATACATTGATTGCTTTAAAGCTTCAGTCTCTGGCAATATCCTGGGCTATTTTCTGCAAAGGAGAACCGATAACTTTCTACTAGTTTCCATTATCTTGGAGAGTTTTTCCTCTGAGCAGTTCATATCGTACAATGTTTACACCATTGACCAACGTCTCGATGTGAGTGTGGCCAATAGAACCATCAACATACATTAGCACAGGTATGTGTAACACAATGATTGCTTCTAGTCCTTGAATTATGCAAATTTTTGGTATGTGCTGCCCAAAAGTTCTGGGAATCACTAGTTGCAACACACATTGAGAACTACCTTTTGTTTATTAGAAAAATATAGCACACCTTCTTGTGCTCATATAGGCGCTATAAGTTACATGCATCAATGCTACATTCCTCAATCCATGTTGGCCATGCTTCACCTTGTTGCACTGCAAGGAGCACTGAAGCTAGATTCCAGTCCTTCAGTTGTTCTTCTCAGAGAAATACGAAGAATAGATAGGATCTCACTGTTTGGCGAGATAATCCTTCAGTATTTCTGTGTTATGGGCAAAGTTATGATGTAGAAATAAATGTATCCTTGCAGTTTTGGGACAAAATATGCAATCACTTCTTCTAGATTTTTAAAGTTCATGAGTCACTTCAGAAACACATTGTCCACATTTTCTACTATAGAAATAGTGGAGATAATGTTTAACAAATACTACAACTTCAAGCAGTTCTTTCCTCATCATGCAGTATCTATATTCAGAAGCCATCAACAAATGAATAGTGTACACAGTTATTCATTCCTTTCCATCTTGTAAATCCAATAATACTCTTCCAATCCCACTACCTCTCACACCAATTTATACTTTTGTGCATGCTAACTGTGGAGCTTCTACTAAAGTACACTTTAATGACTAAACACTTGGCTGCAATATGTTAATCAGCTATACTGAGAGCAGGTAACAGTGAAGTAATCTTGGAAACACTGGTTGAACAGCATCGATAATACATTGAAAAACCAAGGAAAGTGTATATCTTTCATGTATTTAGACAAGTCTTGCACTTCTGCGATCTTTTTATGGTCCACAATATGATCTGGGAACTCCCCCAACTATGTGCTGATTTTAACAGGATGTTACATGAATTGTAAACTGACAAATGTGCTGCAATGGGATTCTACAACTGGAAGGAGGAGAGCCTGTGCTTTGACCAGAACTAAATTCCCTTAGTATGTAAATAAATAAATGTGGTGACCTGCATTGATGCTAGGCTTTCCATTCTTATAGGAAGATTAATGTCTAGATGTATTGGAAGCCAATTGTCAGTTCAGGCTGTGTATATTAGCAATCGAACTAGACAAGTTCCAAATCATGCCATTTGGTCTGTGTCATGTGCCCATCAGTTTTGGGAGGTTAGTGAGGCTTTCACAGAGAAAGTTGCGATGAAAGAGGTGCCTGCTTTATGTCAGTAATGCCTTGATGTTTTGGCCGCTCATATGAATCTACTTCTCAGGACCTGATTATGGTGCTTCAGTAGATAAGGAAGGCAGACTTGAAGCTAAAGTGTCCCTCAGTGACTATCAGAGGGAAGGAGAGTACACCAATTTTGACGATCAAACACTTCATGAAGGCTGTTTGATTTTATTTTTTAATGTCCATTTTATTTCATAACTAATTATGTCCTTAGTGCTCCAAGGAAGCCTGTGTAGCAGTTGTTTAATTGGTTGAGCATCACTTGCATCCATGTGACAGTTAGCTAAGAATTGTTTCATCCCATCATCCATCTGGACCGCAAATACATCAACATATTCAATCAACAATATCCACAAATAAGCCACTGTGTTGAATGTAGTTTACATATACAGTTATTAACCAGAAACTTCAATATGTTGGTGCTGGTATATGCTTTTTCAGACATGGCATTACATAAGCAACCCAAGCAGTACAAATTAGTCTTGGTTACTTTCTCTTCACTTACCACGTTTATGACCATTCCAACAAGTCATTAGAATAGCTGAAGGACCATAATTACAAAGAAACACCAAAAAAATGTCACCTCTTGGATAGGTAACTGTTCGAGTTAATGCTGCCTGCTTTCTGAATGGGGAACAGTGAATTTCATGCATTGTTGCTATCTTATTGTTACATGATGACAATGCACTAGACCTCATTAGTACACAAGGGAACACCACTTGTGTATAAGGAAGCACTGTGTGTCCTTCTCCTCAACATACACTTGTGCAATCCACTTTTCTTGGACCAAATTTAATTGGCACTAAATGACCCTCCACAGAAACACAGTTAACCTGTTTAACAGGAAAACTGACCAATAATTTCAACAGTACTTTCATCATTAGAATATTATTGCCAGAACCAAGATCTAAGACAACTAACTTCATCCTGTGATGTTATCTAGATGTAGTTGGAGGCATTTGCCACATGCTTCTATAAGCACAGTGTAGCAATGAAGAAATGTGAAATATATGTTTTGAAGAGTTAAAATGTTTTAAAAAGTTAAAAAATGTTGAGAGGCTTTGCTCAGAGAAATTACATTATGATGTTTAAGAACTCCAAAACTTGGAAGATTTTCATTTTCACATCCAACCATCTGTTTAAGATTTAACTGTTCAAACATTCACATTATCTTATGAAACAATAGATATTAGTATGTTCTAGAAAAACACTATCATTTCACAAGACTGAAAAGAAGACAGTTTTATTCCATATCTCCCAGTTGTTAATTTCTTTAACATTTAACTGTTACTGAATTCATTTTGTCACATAGTAAATCAGTAAACAAAGTAGAAATTCTACATATACTTCAATACTATATATTGTCTTTATTGTGGATTAGTATAATAGTATTTTTCCTATAAAGCATGTAACTCTTTAGATTTTAAGTAAAACTTTTTAAAAATGTGACATAGCTAAGTTTTACAGTGGCTGTTTACCTGTATAAAGTAGTGTATTATGTAATATTAAATTACAGCAAAGGATAATTATGGCATTGTGTTTAATTTGGAAAAACAATTTATTTGATTACCTACTCATGAATCAGGCTAAAAACATATATTTGATACATATATTACTGGAGTATGAGATAATGATGTACTGTTTGTATTAATTATCGAATTATCAATAAAACTGATAATGTTACAACCCTCTGTGTATCATAATAAACATATTATGTAACCTGTTGTAGCCTCACACCAATACGTCAATAAAACTTATTAAAAAAATTAGAGATAACACCATAATAATTAAACCTCATTATATAAAATCCTTATGTGAATATTTAAAAAACTGCCAACATAAAACAAATATGTATAAACTAGTTGATAAATTCCCATCGTGATTCCTATAGTGTCCTTTATGTAGAAAAAAAAATAGCTATATTTACAAATGACAATATTTTTTTTGTTAAGATAATGTAGCCTTGTATAGATAAACTATGCAACTTATCATCATCAGAACGTTTGGTAACATTTATAAATTACTGAAGTTTCTTAAATTTCTTGAGTTAAGCTTTTTCAGACTATTACATAGCTATGGTACACAGTGGTTATTTACGTATATGAAGTAATGTATTAATTAATATTTATGTACTGTTTGTATTAATTATTGAATCTATATAAATATAATAGTACAGTCTGTTGCATGTCCATGTAACTACTTTGCAGGGTGTGGATGGATCTTCACCATAATTGGTATGGAAGTTCACTAGGTCCATGCAGGTATATGTAAAAATTTTCAGTTTTGCATTTTGTGGTTTGTATGGGCGTTTTTGAGTTTTTTACCACTACCTCACCTTCTGTTGATGGGTCATCACCAAATTTGGCATGAAGGTTTGTTGGGTCCATGGAAAGATACAAGCAAATTTGTGATTTCACATTGTGTTTTGCAGTTTTTATAGGCATTTTTTACAATTACATATAAGAGAAGCAACTTTTAATGTCCTAAGATAACCTTTCATTAAGCATGAATTTAAATAATTTCTGTCCAGGGGATGAGTACTCCAGCTAGTTATCAATAAAATTCAGAATTTCTCAAAAATACAATAACAGTGTTAACAAATAAATATTCCATAATTCTTTCTATGGTTTCACTACAATGTTTATAAACTCCCTGCTTTAAAACTGTGTATCTTAGTACATTGTTTCCTTGTGATATACCCTAACACACTATTATTTTGATACATGACAGAAGAACATGAACTATGACAATAGAAATTTACCGATAAATCTTGGCAATTACTACATGATAATCAAATTATTTTAGCAAAAGAAACTGGCAGATTACGGTGAACCTGGTGCTCACTCATTAATGTTTTGTTTGAACCAAGATACAACTGTCGGCTTTACTTTTTCATGCCAGTACAAGTTGGCTTGAATCTCTTCTTTACTCTACTTGTTCTACTGCTTGGTGGTTAGAAGTAATATTTATTGACTGAAAGAAAGAGTTTACCTAGGTACAGAAAAGAAACAAAAGTATTTTTACTTCCAAAGTATACATAAATAATAATAATGTACATATGCACCACATGTAGAAAGCTAAATACTGAATATTTCTAACAGCTTCATTGTATAAAATTTGAAGTAACAAGAAATTTATTATTTCATTAATATATATAATAGTTATATGTATATATATAATAGACATATGTATATATAATAGACATATGTATATATATAATAGACATATGTATATATATAATAGATATATGTATATTGAACATTTTCTCTCAGTATGTCTACACTTTGGCTATACTTTTATCTATAGAAGTTAGTGTGATAAAAAGATCAATGGTTTTTTCATTAACTGTAGCAGAACGTTTGGATAGCAGATGTTGGATAGCTAAGTTCCAGTTTATAGGAAACATAAAAGGAGACAAAATTATAAGGCTATTCAGACTTGAATGTTTTACTGAAATATGCACCAAACACAAGTTGCTTATACTTTTAACTTTTTAACTTGTATTTTCAATATGTTTTCTCCAAGAGAAAAAAATTGAGAAAAAAGTAGATGTTTAACAATAAAATTCTTTTCATGATACATGTATTTATTTTATTCTTTTAAATGTTTAAGTAAAGAGACTCACCCAATAAATATTTGTATTTTACATTCTTTAGGTTCCCAAAAAATTTCTCTTGCAATATTTGAGAAAACAGTAATTTTGTTATTAGCTTTAGGTAACTATTTGATATCTTTGACATATTTAAAGGAACTAAATTATGCTTTTTTATAAAGTTGTTGACACGAGTTATAGTTTACTTGATAGCTGAATATAAAGTCAGGTTTACACAGTAGCCTTAATCTAGCTTCTGTATTTTTATACAAAATACAATCCGTTTATTTTCACTACTTTCAAGATGAGTAGTATTTCAATTCACAAAGTTAGATTTGAGATAACTTCATTATGTTTATAGTTTAAAGGTTAAAAAATATAAAAAAACAATGTCCAACAGTGAACTAATCTATCCATCAAAACATCAGCTTTGAAAAATAAAACACTGAAAAGACAATAATTTATTATTTAAAAAGGAACTACTTACTTTTTCATATTCAGAGTAAGAGTTCACATAAGATATAACTTTTCTGAGAACACTGATCTGAGCATTAATGGTGGCTCTGTAGGAAAGTCATTAACACAAATTATTTTAGACTTAGCTGTAGAGGTTCATTAAACTTCAAATTCTTCACTATTATAAGATGTTTGCTCTTAAGCTACCTTATGTACATTTATGTTTACCTTCATCTCTTAGATAAAACCTACTTTATGCAAAAAAAAGTGTTACAATAATATCTCTTAATTTTTAACTTTTCCCTTAGAAAATCTTTTTAGAAAAATAATTTCTAGATTAAATGTTATGAAAAACAAGGTATTGAAACAGTGTCTTATAACACTATATTAAACATTTATTACTTTGATGTTTCTTGCTGCTGGTAGTTAGGTTGAATAAAATAAACATATCACATTAAAATGTAATTCTGAATTCAAAACTTCCAGGTGTTTAAATAAAAACTGTAAAATAAAAGTTTTAAACATTTCTGCACACACAGTATTTTATTTTATTTCATTAACTGATACTGTTAAATCAGCTGAAGTTAGAAATTATATTTTTATAATATTTTTTGTGCTTATAGACTAGTGTATTAATATACACCTGGAAAAAAGTTAAGCACCCCCGTGTTTTTTCAAGTGATTCAGATTCGACATTCTTGTGACTGATTATAAATTACCATTCAATCTAAACGTGTTTATCAAATGAAATTATGCATTATTGGGCACAAGAAAACAAGATTATAACAATTTTTAATTTACATATCATGA